TACTTTTTAGTTTGAGTTTAATTAGGTTTCATTCATTTTACTGATTTGAGTTTTATTACAATAAAAAAATTTTAAAAATAATCATATTTAATTTTTTTATTACAGTAAAAAATTCTCACATAAAATTATATTTCAACTCAAATTATAAACTTAAATCATCGAACTAAACAAGGCTTAATTCTTTACAAAAACAATTCATTCATGCGAATAATTATGCACAAAGGCATATCCCATAGGCAATAATCCGCGAACACTTGATCCTCAATTCCGAAGAGAAAGAAACTGAGGGTGTGTTCAACTGTCTAAAAAACTCAAAAAAAGATAACTCAAGTTCTAACTTTATTCAAGTTCATATTTTTTTAAGTTTGAACTCGAGTTTGGGACTAAAACTCGAGTTCAAGTGTCCCATTCAACTTGAGTTTAGAAACTCAAACTCAAATTAATGAACATTATTTTTTCTATTCTTAAAAATGCTATAACTTTTTCGTTTTAATCCTGATTGAGATGATTTTTTTTCTATGCGTTGACAACGAAAAGACGAATAAAACTCCACCCACATACCCTATTAAAATTTTTCATTACCATTGAGTTTTTATTAAAATACTATCTAAATACAAATTTAAGTTTTTGACTCACTCAAACACAAACTCAAAAAAAGATTCTTATCTTAAACCATAACTCAAATGTACACAACCAAACACAAACTCAAGTTACAACTTCAACTCAAGTTATAACTCAAATTCAAGTCAAAAACTACACTCAAGTCACACTCCAAAAGAACATGCCCTGAGATATTTGGCAAAATGTCAGGTTGAGTCTTTGTAAGCATAGATATGCAATGTAGCAGTACTATCTAGTTTGAATCTAGTAGCTGTCACGCCCTGGGACAGGGGTCGATGATGTGGAGGCTCGATTAGGAGTTAAACATTTAATAATTAAAACTAACAGTGAAATATTAAAGAAATCTCCAAACGAGCCACACTATTGTGCCGAAATAAATTACAAGAACATCTCAAGACGCTAAAACTCCCGCCTCTAACACTGTTCAAGGCTACACCCACAGGATATTTAGTATCGTATATATATGAACATGGTAATAACATTACAGACATCAACCACAGTCTAGAAATCCAAATATCAGAGTTTACAAAATTTACAAATTCTTACATTCGTACATAGGGAGGATGACCACAATCCTCTTCAAATCAGGTGGTAGCAACTCAGCTACTCCGCACTGCTTCTGGAATCGCCTGGGAGGGGTTTAACATTTATAAAACAATAAAATGTGAGCGAAAGGCCCAGTAGGTTATATTTTGAAATAACTTTATAAACTAATAAATAAATAAGTATGTAAGTGAATAAATAAATAAATGAATAATAAGACATTCAGTTCCAACACAACAGCCAAAACCTCACATCCTTTTTCTCAAAGGAATGTAACTGAAAATCTCCATATTATAGGCATTAGCAAGTAATTTATACTATGATAAATTACTTACACAACCACGTGCACAAGCCTAACATCCCCGGGCCGAATTTCAGGTTTTGCCCCCAAGGATGCACTCTCCACATCCTATCTAAGCCATCAGCTGGTTTACCGATTCACAAGATCTCTTGTCTTAAGAAATCATTCATTAAATTTTATGAAACAGTTCATTATGATCCCAATAGCTAAAATTAAGCTATTCTTTTTGAAATGCTTTTCTTTCGCAAACATGCCCTTTCTTTAAATCATTTGCAATGCCAAAACTCTTTGAAAACATGCTAACAAAGAAAGGGTAAGAAATCCTACCTCTCAAATACCAAACCTGGCTAACGTTGCACTATTTCGGCTTTTGATTCCTCAAAGCCCCTTAATTCGAGTCCTCAGCTAGCACTGATACAAAACCACGCTTTAAGATCCAATTCACACTCCTAAAGTAATTTCAATCTCAATTATACCATTCGATTTCCTATTAGTGTGCCATAATTCAATTACCGGTTTCACAAACCATTTCATATTTCAAATCATCATTCCAAGGGGTTTCAATCTCAAAACATGGATTAAAGAAGCTAATCCATTTACTCTAGGTCTCCAAATAAAGTTAATTTGGGTTCTCCTCAAAAACTGAGGTCAAGACAGGGTTTTTCAATAAAACAGGGTCAAACCCAGTGTACACCGGTCGACCGGTGACAGCGCAGTGCAACACCATCGGTCGACCGGTGGTGTGCACTTCGGTCGACCGCACAGGTTGACCTGATGTAGTGCAGACCGGTCGACTGCATAGGTCGACCGATGGAATCAGGGCAGGATGGCCAGAAGGGCTGATCTGAAGAAAATCAGCACAAAACCTGCAAATCCAAGTCCCAAATCGAAATATCTCAAAGGGAAACCATTAGTTCCGGGTTCTAAGTACTAAATCAAGTCCAAAGAATCTAAGATCTCCAATTTCTACCATGGTTTTACTCAAAATCCATTTCGAACCAAAAAATAAGTTTTTAAATCTGAAAAACTTGAGATTCAAGAGAGGTTTTCAGAAATCTTACCTCAAATCCTTCTCCTGACATTGCAAACATCTTGAAATTTTCCTTCGGTTTAAAATTTGGTTTGATTCGGTGAAGATTTTTAACGGGAGAGAAAGAGAGAGAGAGAGAGTGAGAGTGAGAGAGAGAAAGAGAGTGTGCTCGGGAAGGAAAGGAAAAGAAAAGGGAAAGAAAAAAGAAAAAGGAAAGGAAAAGAACAGGTGTCCAATATTTAAAATGACAGTCCAGAAAATGTGCCCACACACACTTCTGAGTAAAAATGTAAATATTGAGAATATTTAAATACCTTAGAATTATTTAAATTTACACGTCAAAAATATTTATTAATCAATAATTAATTAATTAAACCAGATTATGCACACTAATAAATCTTAATTATCTTAATTAATCACATTTAATTCTTCAATGTGTTACAGTAGCACTATATAAGGACGTAGTCAGACTTTTAATCTAATAGGGACATAAATAAGCATAGAGTTTACAAACTAACAATATAAAATAAAGTAACTTTTCTAGTACCTTTTCGTAATAAAATTTTATTAAGTAAGATTCACATTATAATTATTCTCGACGAGTTCTCATATTTTGATATTGTTGCATAATAACTTTATTATTAATGCTATTAAAAATATCTTTATCAAAGTGACGGAACAAAAAAAAAATGAGAGAATTTTATTTTATGGGGAACATAATTTTTGCGTTTGTAGACTTGTATTCTACAATAGGAAATAAAGAAAATTGAAAAAAAAAAAGAATTCGTAAAGACTCAACATTAGGAAAGTTTAGTTATAAGAATTTTTTAATATTATATTTTGTATAGAACTATTCAGTTACAATTTTTACTATGTAAATTGAGAACCAAATCATCAAATAGTTATCAATTAAAATTAAAACCAAATAGAGTAATAAAAAAAAAGCCCAAAAATAAAAGACTTTCAGAGGAAAAAAAAATAGTTGTAAATGGAGATACAAATACCGTAACAAAGTTTCAATCATAAAAAGTTACATACGAGTTTAATTTTTTTTCTTACTCAGTGGGGGCCTGTGCCCACACTGGTCCCTCTGTTAATTTAGAGGAAAAAAAAGTGTAGTCCACAATGGCCAGCTAAGTAATAATTATTGTAATTCGTGATAATAAAATATTAAATATTACTAATAACAATCATTATTTTATTAGTTTTCAACTTGTAAATATTGTCATATAAAGATTATGTGGAGCACTTTATGCATTATCTGCCTATGCTACTTTGCATAGAACCATATTACAACTTCATAGAGTTGCGTTAACCAGCTAAGTCACCCAAAAAAAGCTTACTTCCAAGTGGTTTAATAAATAATTAAAGAATTCTAAGTTTAAAGTCTCATGAAAAGTGTTTGAGACTAAATTCTAAGTTACTAGTTCGATACGCGTGTTTCATCTTTTATATAATTATATTTTATGTGAACATTCATAATGTGTAAATTTTCTTTGGTCTTTAAAGTAAGGAGTTGTAATGGATTGTTGCTCTATTTACGTTTTTATTCAAAAATAAATAAATCAATAAATTAGTATGTGATCATATAATTAGTGAAAAACTTAGCAATAAACTGATAACCATCATCTTCTACATCATATTCACTAGAGTCGGTAATATGGGTCACAACACGACAACACAACCCAAAAACGACATGAATTTCGCGGGTTAAGGTTGAAAAAAAAGATGTTCATGTTAGAATTGAGTCAACCTGAAATTGACACGAAAAACACGGGTTAATTTCGGGTTGGACCTGCCTAATCCGAACACGACATGAAACTCGTAAAAATAAAAAATACATATATTTTTCATTATATATTTTTTTATTTTATTATGAACTTGTGATATTATGATAGTTATACTTAAAATCTTATACTATTATTTGCTTAATTTCAATGGATGTTATTGTATTTTAGTGTGTTACGAATTTTAAGTTATTTTTAATATGTAAAAAATTAAATAAAAGTATACAATTTTCGTGTTCACAGGTCAATTTCGTGTCACGGGTCATTTTCGTGTCGTGTCGTGTCGTGTTGTGTCAACCTGTAAAGTGATCGTGTCGTGTTCATGTTGCGATTTTTAAAAAATTTCGTACCATGGGTCGTGTTCGAGTTAATAATAAATTTAAAAAAATAATTAAAATATGATACGAACACGACACGTGACACAATAAAAAGAAAAGAAAAAGAAAAAAAAGAGTGAGAAAAAGGGGTGCTTTGAGAGGAAGGAAGTAGGGGTGGTGACACGGAGAAGAAGGAAGAGAAAAAAGTATTGTGGGGGGTCCAAACAATAGCACTATCTTTTTAAGCAATGTGGGGGAATCCAACTCCTCCCTAAAGTTCTACACACACCCACACACAACTTGTGGCTCACAATATTTCCCTCCTTGATGACGTGGCACCCCACCTAAATATATTAATTAAAAACAAAAAAAAACTAAAATTAAAATAAGAAAAAGACCCCTTCATTTACTAGTATGCTACGACTACTACTACGAGTACGCACTACAACAACAACAACCAGATTCTCTTCCCTCTGTTTTCTCTCCTCCTCTTCAAACCCGGAAAAAAAATTAATTAGTTAAAAACAAGAAGAAAAATTTAGAAATCCTTTTGAATCTATGTAAGAATTCAGATATTTACACACACACACATATAGGGAGAGAGAATTTAGGGAATTTTAGCGTAGAGAATGTCGGAGTTTAAAGACTCGGCAATAAAGCTCTTTGGAAAAACGATTCCTCTGTTGCTGAATCAGGAGGTCTCGTGCAATGATGAACCGTCCATGGCGACTTCCGTCGTTGATTCCGACGCCGGAACTGTCGGCACCGGCGAGAGTTTCTCTGATCAGAAGCTTCTTCGTGTTTCGTCTCCGAATAAAGAGAGCTCCAGTGAAGAAGAAGGCGACGGGGACAAGGTACGTCTGAAAAATGAGCTTTTGAAAGTCTATTATCTTCTTTGAATTCGTTAGTTTTATGAAAACTCTCGTCTTTAATGGCGTCGGTTTTAAATTTTCTGAAGACTTCTGTGATTTTACAAAAAGAGGTTACGTAGATTATTTTGGCTCTGCATTTTGGATCACTAGTGTTTCAATTTTGCAAGAAATTCGAGATTCAAAATGAGTATGGCGGAGATATTTTTCATTTATTAAATTAAGTACTTGATTTTCTCGTTGTTTAAGAAGATTATGTCTTAATCTCGTTTCCAGTTCTTTAAAATCCTCTTTTAATTTTTTCTATCATGCTATCTATTTTTGAAATTGTGTTTAATCTCTTGCTAAAACTAATCAAATTTATAATCATAGCTCGTTAATCATTTTTAATTTTGCCTAATTAGCTTACTCTGTAGCAGATATCATAGGTGATATCTCCCTGTATTTCTTTTCCAGAAGAATTGGTCCAGGCACTTTTAATGAGATTAGATGCTTTTTGGTCAGATTGAACAGTTATATTCCAAAATGGGTTCTTAATTATTCTGATGCGATAAAAACTTTCCATTAAAGCTTCGAGAATTTTATCTTTGTGTTCTTAAACACTTTTGGAGATTCCCTCGTGGGAAATGGATGAATTATCTTAATAGAAGTAAAGAAACCTTTTCCCATTAAGGAACTATTAACCAATACAAAAATCAGTCTTTAATGGTTAAAATTGTATCCACCAAGCTAATTTTGTCCATTAAATCAGTTTTTTATTTATTTTTTTCTTTTATTCTCTTGGTTTTTTCCTTCTGTATCTCAGATCTTATACTTTTTTTTTTTTTTTTTTTTTTTTTTTTTCTTGGTTTTTTCCTTTTGTTTTTCAGATCTTTTTCTTTTTTTTTTTTTTTTTTTTTTTTGTTTTTTTCCTTTTGTTTTCAAATTTTTTTTTTTTTTTTTTTTTTTTTCTTGGTTTTTTCCTTTTGTTTTTCAGATTTTTTTTTTTTTTTTTTTTTTTTTTTTTTTTTGCAATATATGTACCATTTTTTTTCTCATTGAAACTTTCTTTTTTGTTTAAAACTATTAGGAAACTTCATCAGGAAAAGAAAACTCAGAGAAAGATAATGTCTCAGATCAAAGTGCAGAAGACACTAAAGATCCTACAACATCAGTTGTCATTAGCGAGAATCACAAATCTCCCTTAGTTGAACGAGAAACTTCATCTTTGAAATCCTCAAAGAGCGCAGAGCAAAGCGAAATCAGTAACCCGCAGGAAAAGACTTTGAGAAAACCTGATAAGATACTTCCATGTCCGCGATGTAATAGCATGGACACCAAGTTCTGTTACTATAACAATTACAATGTCAACCAGCCCCGCCATTTCTGCAAGAACTGCCAGAGATATTGGACCGCAGGAGGAACCATGAGGAATGTGCCTGTGGGAGCTGGCCGCCGCAAGAACAAGAACTCTTCAGCTTCACACTATCGCCATTTAGTGATTTCCGACGCTCTCGAGAAAGCTCAAGTTAATGCTGCAAATGGAGTTCACAACCCCACATTGGGAAGCAATGGCACTGTCCTTACATTTGGTACAGATTCGCCTCTCTGTGAATCCATGGCTTCTGCGCTGAACCTCGTGGAGAGAACAAAAAACTCTGCACCAAATGGTTTTCATAATCCTGAAAATAGAGTTATTGTTTCTATTGGAGTGGGAGACAATGCGGATAACCAGTCTTGTGGCTCTTCCATAACAGCTTCCACTTCATCAGATAAGGGAGGAAAACCGGTGATCAAGGACTATCAAGGCTTTCCTTCTCAAGTACCATGCTTTCCAGGGCCTCCTTGGCCATATCCATGGAATTCAGCTCAGTGGACATCTGCGTTGCCGCCTCCTGCTTTCTGCCATTCGGGTTTTCCAGTCTCATTCTATCCGCCGCCTCCATATTGGGGATCTACTGTGCCAGGATCCTGGAATGTACCGTGTTTCTCGCCAGCATCTTCCACAACTAATCTGTCTACCTCAGCACTTGGGAAACATCCTAGGGACGGGGAAATTCTAAATCCCACAAGCTCACATAAGGAAAATTCTGATAAGGAGAACAGCACTAGTTCAGAAAGATGTGTTTTGATTCCAAAAACATTGAGGATTGATGATCCCACTGAAGCTGCAAGGAGCTCCATATGGACGACACTCGGGATCAAGAATGAAACACTCAGTTCTGTCAGTGGGGGAGGTCTTTATAAGGCGTTTCAATCAAAGGGAGATCGCAAAACTCACGTAGTCGAAACGTCTCCGGTGTTGCAAGCCAATCCTGCAGCCTTGTCCAGATCACTCACCTTTCTGGAGAGCATATAATCACTGCCGAATCCAAGTTCGACGTGATTGAAGGATTAAGCCTCACTATTTCTCTTGTTGACATAGTAGCTAGGATAGCTTTTTTCCCCCATAAGGCCACGTTATTGTCTTATTGATCAACCTCAGTGGATGAGAAACCAGTTTAGAAGCAATGCAATATCTCCTCGAAAACACGCGCTGGAGAAGTTTTCAACCTTGTAGGCAATCAGGAGCCTTTTCTCTGTATCTTATATAGATGTTTCTTTTTCTTTCTTATGCTTCTTTCCCTCACCTTGTAACCATATGAACAGGTGTTTTTTCTTTCACCTCAGAAGGTTCCTCGTGTAAGTCTTCCTGTACATAAACTATAGACATTATTATTGTGGAATATATAATAGATAATAAAGTGAGATGTTTGTCCGGAACATAATTTTGGGAAATTGTTAAAATAGAACTTTCAACTCTCCCAAAATGCTCTTGTTATGGTAATGTCTCTTTTAATGTGATGAAATTGAACATTTTCCAAAATGCTTCAAATGTCACTCAGAACTATGTACTGAATGGATATTTAATTTGGTCAAAAGAACAAAAGGAGCAAAACTAGGGTTATGCTTTTTGAGTTGTCAAGTGGGACCCCAATTAAAGGACAAAATCATGGCCGTTTGATGGAGAAGTTGGTACAATGTGGGACAAAAGGATTGCAGCATGTTCTTGCCATGCTCAACAACGGTACGTTTCTGACATTATATAACTGACAAGGTTACGGTTAAGCAGATTTGCCTGTGGTGTAAAAAAGTAAATTTGTGACAGTTAGTTTATGATTAGAAAACCAGTGTGGAAATAGAAATCTCCTTGCAGTCTGGCGTAAATCCAGAGATATAAAATAAAATAAAAAAAGTTAGCCTTGGCCGGCCCTCATTTGTGTGTGGATAGACATTGAATTGTTATGTCGCATGAGGCCAAGCATCTTTCTCTTTCAAGCGCAAAAGAATCCAAACTGCCAATATCAAAAGGTGGGGGAAAAAAAAAAAAAAAAGGTTATAAGAACAGAATTAAGTTGTTGGCTTCTCCTTTCCTTTTTCTTCTTTTCCATTTTTTCTTTTCTTTTCCCCCCTCCGTTTCCTGATTCCTCTTCCCTTTTGTTGGATATTCTTTCATTTGAGTGTTATTTCCTCAGTTGCCCTTCAACGTGACCTTTCCTTTGTTTTCTCCATTTTGCTCTATATACTACCAATACGTACATGATATATGAATAAAAAAATACATAGATATACCATATACATAATCTGAAAAAATTACTCAACTTACTCTGGTATGAATCTTAATTTTTACCATTTTATTTTAATTAATATACTTTTTAACTAATATAATTATTTAATCAAAAATAATATTAATTAATAGTAAAAAAAAAAAATTCAGACTCATACACTCTAGAGTATTTATCTCATTTCTCATGTACATATATATATACATATATATATATATATATTAATGCTTATACAAAGTTAGATACGCGCACACGTGAGAAATACATGTATATATTAATATTAATATAAAAGATCAGATGCGATATGTGTGCATGTAATCTACAGCCAGATATATTGTTTGTTGTTGGTATGAGTTGTTATAGGACCCAATACATGTGCAACTCCATCAAAGATTTATTACCCCTTTGATGACCATTTTGGTTTTCTTTTTCTTTTTTTTCTTTTTGTTCTTTTGCTTCACTAAAAAGGCAACACTGTTTTCTTCTATTTCCCTTTCAAAAAACATCCCCAATTTGAGCATCATCAATTCCCAAGTATATGTGACGAGAGCACAGGAGGCATATTCCAAGAACACAACAATTCAAGCAAGAATCTCCCCACCAATTTAATGACGTGTTGAAGTTTTAAGAAACAAATGTCAATTTTAGTTTAAAGTAGCTTCACGTGAGTGGTAGTCCCCCTTCTAAAGATCTTGTGGTTCTCCTCATTTTGCATATTCTGTTAAGTCATTATAGTGGCTGCCCTTTGTTGCATGTTACATCAAACTCTAAATTGCACTTTTTTTTGTCTCTAATAAATCTCATTAGGATTTTATTTTATTTTTAAAAAAAAAAAGTCACAAAAAGGGAGGCAGATATTTTGTTGGTGTTCTAATAAAGTATAAGAGAGAACCCAACTAATTCAGCTTTTGATTATTATCTAGATCCAACCTATTGAGTTCTGTGTATATCTTATTTTAGTGGGTAATCTTCGTAAATACTTTTTGAAAATGTATGGATCATAATTTTTATCTTTTATTTTTTCTTCATAATTTTTTTAGTCAAATAATTATACTAATAAGAGGATATTTATCAAAATTAAAGAGTAAAAATTCAGACTCAATCACTCAAAATAATAAATTTTTCATTTTTTTCAATTTTATTATAGTCTATATTGGATTTCTGGTTAGACTTATAAGATATATTATCTTGTTGTATGGTCAAATAATATTATAACAACTCGTTACAGCAGGATAAGATTGAATGAAAAGTTACTTTTATAACTGGATTTCGACATGAATTTTACATTAAACTACGTTACTTTAAAAGGGAAAATAATATCAGATAAAGAAAAGTACAATAATTTAATTGAAGATGATATAACTCAAACGATTAAACTGTATTTTATCGATAGAGTTTTTATTTTTATTTTTTATTTTTATCTCATACATTTAAAATGTTCCGAGTCTTTGAGATGAAGTGCTCAGAAAGTATGTTCAGCCGAGAAAGGAAAAAAAAAAAAGTGCTCAGAAAGTATTCCAGCAGAAAGATCCTTTTCATGGGAAAAGTGGGGATTGTACCTTTTTCCTCCACCCAAAAAAAAAGTAAGAAAAGGGGGTGTTGGGGAAATTCTAACTTATGGTCTAAATTTCCTAATCCTTTGCTAGTGGGAAAAGACTCAACTGATAAGTCAATAACTTAACAACAAACTATTATAGAGTTATTGAAAAAGAAAAAGAAAAGAAAAGAAAAGCAGAGACACAATAAAAAGCCAACCCATTAGATTGTGCCTTTCTGAATCCTTTTCCGTAAAATAATAATAATAATAATAATAATAAGCATTTCTTTTTCATGAAGTGGCAGCCTTCTAATACAAACACATAGCTATGCAAAAGTATTTTTATTTATTTATTTAAGAGTTTCTCCTGTGTTTTTTTTAAATATAAGTATTTTTTATTTTTTTAACTGTTAAATCTGATCAAAATCACGTTAGATTAAAAAAATATATAAAATAAATAAATTTTAATACATATATTATAATTGAAAAATAAAAAAGACTGGTGTTTTAAAAAAAATAACACTAAAAAAAGTCTCTTTTTATTTATTTATAGAAATAAAAAGTAAATATCTCGTATAAATTACATTATCATTGGTTTTATTCGTGCACGCTTTTTACCTAAGTGGCTATAAGTCATTATTTATAACAGTGTGTATTTGTGGTTCTTCTTTTGAATATAAAATTCATTGGAAGCTAATTAGGCTAATTTGCACTTCGGAAAAAGTAACCAAAATGCCATCCCACTATCAAATTACGTTGCAGAGCTTTTCAGAAAAATAAAAATTAAAAAATGCCACCGTCAAGTTTAAAGCCAAAATCAAAGTATTTAAAAAAAAAAAACTGTTAAATTTTTATTTTTTATTTGTTATTTTCTCTACGATATCGAATGCTGGGCTCCAACGTTGCACAATTTTTGTGTTTTTTTTTTTTTTTTTTTTTGAGGTAAATTCTGCCCTTTTACTTTGTAGTTTCGTAATTTTGTGAAAAAAAAAAAAAAAAGCAAACAAAAAACATACATGAAAGAAAACCCAGAAGGCAGAATATACTATTTATATCTATCACGCGTCAGATGGGTATTGTTGCTCAATGCCGATTTTCCACAGTTATAAGTTAGTTTTTGATCTAGCAGAGGATGGCATTTTTGTTATTTAGCATCAAATCTTGGACTTTTTGTTAACCAGGTTGGCTGTCACTTTCACGATAAATTACATATGACACGTGGTACACTGTGAAGATAACAACTGTGGGAGACGTTGAACGAACGTCTGCGTTTAGCACTGTTCCTTGTAAAAAGATCAATATATTAGGGGAAAAAAAGGTTAATCTGGTAAATAGACCCTAATATTTACTTTCAATTCTATTTTGATTATTAACTTTTAAAACGTCTCCCGATTAATTTATGAGTTTTTACTTTGTTTTAACTTTAGTCATTCCATTAGTTAATTAAGTTTAAATATTTGACAAAATTTATATAAATTAATGATTAAATTTTCACAAATAGTCTCTAGTTTTTAATTATTTTTTATTTTGATCTTTAATTTATATAGATTTTATCAAATATTTAAAACTTAGTTAATGAAAGATTAAAACTGAAATATAATAAAATCTTTGAGATTATCAGTAAGACATTTTAAAAGTTAGTGACTAAAATGAGATTGAGAGTAAACTTTTAGGATCATTTGTAGGGTTAACCAAAAGAAAAAGAAAGAAGTTTCTCTAATAGGGTCTGAAAAAATGAAATAGCAAAAACACATTATTTTCATCTATTAAATATGTATAAAAAATTATTTACTTTGTATATTTTTAATTTAATACATATTCAACGTCTAACCTTATCTTAGAAGGCACTATCACAAAAACTCTTCAAAAAAAAAAACCCGTTAATAGCGAGAAGAAAAACTTAAATATTTCATTAATTTTTATTTTATTTATTTTTTCGTAAATACCATTAGAGGTTAAATAAGACCTGCGACATATTCAAGGTTCCTTTTCTTTTGTGTTCTTTTAAAAGTTGATCAGATGGAGCCATTTCTTTACCTCTTTGGCAGGAGTATAGGAAATAAGAAGAAAAAGGAAGTACAAAACTTAGGTGAGGAAAATGAAAAGGAATGAGAGGATATTTTGATCACGTCATTTATGTGTTTAGTGTGTGTTTCTTCATATGCGAATATAAAAATTAATCTCACTGGAACCACAACTTGACATGTTATTAATGCTACGAATTAGGCGCCTTAATTATACCACGAAGAGTAATAAACTAGTAAAGAAAAAAAACTATAAGATTTATAGTGATACGCCTTTAATGTCAGAGCTATATTTATTTTTAATCAATGAAGAAATTCACCATTTACAAGAAAAAATTACACATCTCTCAACTCTCTGTGTCTTTTTCAACCTCTTTGATGATAACTCTAAAATGACATTTCCCTTTTATAAATAAAACGAGAACAACTGAATTTACAAATTTAAATATAGTTGATTCGTATGTTATTTTTGTACCAAGACGGTAATTAAACTACACAACTAGTTAAAATAATTTTGTGACTCTTGTTTTTTTTTTTTAAATCATGATCCTTCCGTTCTTTGAAATGGAAAAAAAAAAAAAAAAAAAAAAA